TCGCGCTGGGCCGGTAAACGGTGCGGATTTGACCGGTGATTCGGTTCCGTTCCAGTCGCTCGAGACTAGCTGCGCGGCGGCGCTATCACGTGACCCGGGGCAGGCCCCGCCTCCTCGTTACGTCACACTGCAGAGCCGCTTCCCTCACTGACAAGATTTTGATAAAGATTTTATTTGAACGATATTTGAAAACTAAAACTCCGAAACGTTGTGTAATTGTGTAATTCTCCAGCGACAGAGTATATATATATATATATATACTGAGATGTCTGGATGCTTTCAACTGATTTCTATTGAACTGTCATGCAACTAAACTGCAGCCCAAACTATTTCAAATATAGTGAACTAAGCTACAAACTCCATCATAAAGCACAGTGTTTCCATCTAACATGTATTTTGAGCTGCAGCTCTTCATATTAATGGAGTGTTTCACTAGTTAGCAGTAAACCGGTTACCTCACCTGAATATGTTCCTAGATTTGTGTTGGATGTTATCTTTGGTATGGAAATATCAGATGTTTTATTTGTAAACATCATACTTTTTTCGCATATATCAGTTAATGTCATAAAACTAGTGAGTTAAGCCAGTAGTAGGCCTAGTTCTGACAGTTCTGATCATCGCGAATGACGTCATTACGTTAGGGCGTAAAAGAACCGATGAACCGTTTTTTTGAACCGGTTCATTGAAACGAACTGTCCGAAAGAACCGGTTCGCGGAAAAGAACCGGACTTCCCATCACTACTGAAGACACGAAAAGAGGAACAGACAAACTGAATCAATTGAGTGAGTCATTTCTTGATTCAAACTCGTGATTCATCAGTTCAAGCGATTCACTAGCAAAACCAGTTCAAAAGAGCAATTTATTTTCGAATTTCGAGATAATTATTTTAAAAGCACGTATAGTGATGGGTGAAACGGAGCTTTTCGAAACTCCGAATCCGTTAAACCACTGCGTCGCAAAATGATTTGAATGTTTCGAAGAGCTCCAATCGGATCGCGTAATCATTTGATTCGGATCGGGATGTTAAATAATGGCGCATATGCCAGTAATTTGACGAGCGCAAACGTTAGTAAAACGCGTTGCGTGATTCATTTGAATACTCTCCTCCCATAAATTTTGCGTCTGAAAGGGAAACTCCTAGAAATGCATATTCAATAAGATCAGGAGCAAAAATAACGATGTCCACGACTTTTCGGCGCTCATTTTTCACTGCGCGTCTTTAATAAAACCTGACAGTACTATTTTAATGCCAAAAGACTGTTTGCGCTGGCGCAAGCTGTTAAGGCGTATTTTAAAAGCACGTATAGTGATGGGTGAAACGGAGCTTTTCGAAACTCCGAATCCGTTAAACCACTGCGTCGCAAAATGATTTGAATGTTTCGAAGAGCTCCAATCGGATCGCGTAATCATTTGATTCGGATCGGGATTTCAAATCGCGTATAGCGAATCATTTGATTTAGAACTCCGGAGCGGGTTCGTGAATCATTTCACGAATTGAATGATTCGGGATCAGCGCTACGAGTCTTGGGGCCAGTTTTACTAAAGGCGGGCGTACACAGTGCGATTCTGAAGGTCGGAACGTCGTGAGCTCTGGCACGTGTCACGATTGAGTTTATCCGAAAATCGTACGGAGGCAGTCACACACGACACGAATTTACTACGATTTTACAAACTCTGACGTAAGCATTACGTTTCGCGCCATTCATAAAATTATGGATACTGAGGACGAAATAGTTTTCTTTGTGGCAGGCGGCTTGTGACATCCAAGAAAAAAAAAAAACGAAGACAAAGGACATGGCAAAGAGAACTTTATGTAGTTCTGCTGTTTTGTGTTCATCTGCTTCTCCCATTTGCTCTTTTTACATTGACTATCACTCTATACAGACTAATACAAGCAGATACAACAATAATTTCTCAAATATGTATTACAATATATACATTTAACATTCACAATGAAGTAACGGGATGCTTTCCACTGATTTCCTATTGAACTGTCAGCAACTGAGCTGCAGCTCAAACTATTTCAAATATAGTGAATTAAGCTACAAACTCCATCACGATGCACAATGTTCCAACGAACATGTATTTTGAGCTGCAGCTCGTCATATTAATGGAGAGTTTCACTAGTTAGCAGTAAACCTCACCTGAATATGTTCCTAGATTTGTGTTGGATGTTATCTTTGGTATGGAAATATCAGATGTTTTATTTGTAAACATCATACTTTTTTCGCATATATCAGTTAATGTCATAAAACTAGTGAGTTAAGCCAGTAGTAGGCCTAGTTCTGACAGTTCTGACTTCACATCACAGTAGAGTCAGCTGTCTTAACCGCGGCTTGTGTACTGCATCATTACTTTGTCTGTCACACGACTCTGTTCCCCTTTCGGGTTTGAACTGATGGTAAAACTAATGACATTATTTACTGTCTTTACATTTATTTTGAAAGATGAAGCTCACGATTATGGTAAGGGGCGTTACATTTCCGACGAGTGCTTGTGGTGTTCGGCCAATCACAATGCACTGGGTCAGCTGGCCAATCAGAGCAGACTGCGCTTGTCGGAAGGAGGGACTTTGTAGAAAACGAAGCGTTTGAGAGAGGCGGGGCATATAGGACCTACAATAATGTACAGTATTTGAAAAATAATGTGTTTTTTGAACATTAAAGCATGTCAACATATTCTGTTACACCAAATACACAAAATAATGATCTTTAAAAAAGCATCATATGACCCCTTTAACATATTTAAGATCAAATTCTCCATTTCAAATGCATCAAATTTACATAATGCAAAGGTAAATTATTTAAAGACAGCCTATTAATAATAATAATAATGTCTTCACAAATTGTTAATGGCCTACAACAGGCTTTATTTATTTTATTTTGATTTCGGGGTAAAATATGATTTGGGCCTGTTCTTAAAATTCAGCCTTTGAAATTAAAACAGCAGATGATTAATGTTAAAACATCAGATTGAAAAAAATGACATTATTCTATTTCTGTTTTCTATTATTTTTATTATCCATATATAAAAAGTAAATCATTATTTGGCCATTAATGAATTATATGATTCAACTGAAGTTTCCTGCTCTGACGAAACATCCTGCAATTAAAACATTGCATGTCTCTTCATCACAATCCCTGACTGACCTGATTAAAAACTCACAGAGAACGTCGACAGATCCGAACGAGAAAACGCAGAGACGTCAGCGTTAAACCAGCAGTGAATCACCATCAATAACCTCAATATCAACACCTGGATGAATATTTAAAGAACAGATGACAAGCCGCTGCATAATCAGAAATCATTCATATCATATCCAGTGCAATAATGACACAAAATAAAACTCACGCAGACACAGAAGTGGAAAACTCAGGTTTGGTTTATCTAGAGCAAATTCTACACAGGTGAGCGTGAACAAAACCAGGTCGTATATACAGCAGCAGTGTCAAATAAATACAGACGTGGATATTAAACATAAGCATGCGCAGCATGTGAAGCTCTATGTCTCAATCTACCGCCATTAGCAAAGCATTGATGCAAAACTCCCTTCAGTTAACTAGGGGTTTACTCAATGATCTGAGTTGCTCTCGTCAAACTGAATTAAAGATTCAAGCAGGTCTGTATGTAGTGCCCTATAAAGTATTTACAAATATCATATTTGATTCTCTTAGCTTCACATATAATGAAGTGAACAGTAGTGGCGTTTGTGTAGTGAAAGATTGCCTGCATGCAGAGTCCAGAAATCTCCTAAATAAAAAATGTTTAAAATATAGTATCTTTTTTTAATCTAAATGGATCATTACTAGAAGGATTGTAGATGATTCACTCCACAAAAACACCTTTTTTGTGCGGAATGTTCTTTGGGATTTCTAACAAGATTTCTTTTCATAAACCGCTGTAAGGCCTTTCAAATCAAAGCAGAGAAAGGAAAAACGAATGAAATCTGAAGTTAAACGTCCAGCAAAAGCACAGAGTGATTCATTTAAGCACCAAGATTTAAAACCGGGTACAAAAAGACTAACAGAGCACTTTAAACGGCATAAACAGGCGCAAACCTTCCTAAAGCACAACTACTGGGTTAAAACAGCAATTAACTAGTAAAAATCCAATTTGGATTATTTTTAGTTACAATTATCGCTCTAAAAAGTTTAGAATTCCGCTTTTACGTTGATTTGTATCATAAATTTAGTGTGTGTGTGTGTAAGTGAATCTTTAATGTAATGATTCAGTTTTGTTTTGGATCATTTCTGAGGAAGATTCTAATACTTTCTCACTGAATTATTTATTTCTCAGATTATCAAATTGTATATTTTGTACACAAAAAAACATCAATGTGGTCCTTAAATAAAAAAAGGAGACACATTTATCATAAATCTCCCATGTTAGTGTTGAAATAATCATGGTTCTTCAGCGCTGGAATGTGAGATTTTGAACTAAATTTGCGCTAATATTCATCGTTCTTACAGTCAAAAGCTCTTCGCCTGTTGGCCGGAAATAAAACAAATACTGTACAAATACAATCTCGCTTCTTGCATATTCTTAAATGCCCAAAAATGATTCTCGTCACTAAAAGAGCATCCTAGAGAACTTGAGGCAGCAGCGTTAAAGACGTAAAAATAGGCGTTACATTCACTAATGAGAGGCAAGACGACTCCTGATTGGCCGATCGGACAGAACATTACATGTGCTTTGAATATGAGGACGATAAACGCCACAGCAATGGTAAAAGAGCAATAAAAACAGTTTATCTTACACACAGAGGCACGACTGCTGCACACACACACACACACACACACACACACACACACACACAGCATGTTGGACAAGCGCAGCTGATCACAAACCTCGGCGGGCTCTGGTTGAATGGTGTAAGTGTTTGCACCTGTTCAATGAATCATGTGCCCTTTAATGAAGCGAATGCGCACGCGCAGCTAGAGATCTACTCGCAAATGTGCAAAATCACGGGAGAGCGCTTGAGGACGCATGGAGGAGTGATTCAGCTGTGAGACGAGACGTCTGAAGAACTGCTGCTGTTGCTGTTGGTGGTTTGAGCTCGCTTGATGTACAGATTCAGCAGCTTCATCTGTAGAGAGAAAATCAGACACGTCAGCTGCCTAGATAGACAGTATTATAAGGGATCATCACAGGCGCACTGCTGAAAACTCTCACTAAACAAAAAGAAAGGAATGTTTACAGGGTTATTATAGGTAACTAAAACCGTAAAATCATTTTTTATACTTGAAATAACATTACAAGAAATAAAAAATATATTAAAACAATTCATTTATTTCTGCTAGTTGCCAAGGCAACATTTCTCATTGTTTTTTTTTTAAAGTTAAAGCGCTTTAATAACTAAAACTAAATCAACTAAACTAAAAACCTAATAAAAACTATAGACATATTTAAAAAAAAACTTAAACTAAAAATGACAAAAACAAAATGACTAAAACTGTAAAAAGTTAAATTAAAATTAAAACATAAAAATAAAATCCATTCAAAATATTTACAAAAACTATTATAGTATAACAATAATACTAAAATAACACTGGTACATTATGCTACTTTCTAAGAGACCTCATATTTAGGCAAAAAAACAAGGCATCATCACATATACGCTACCATTTAAATTTTAAGGTCAGTAAGAAATGTTTATATTTTGAAAGAAAATAATACTTTTATTCAACACAGATGCATTAAATTGATCAAAAGTGTCAGTGAAGACATTTATAATGTCACAAAAGATTTCTATTTCAAATAAATGCTGTTCTTTTGAACTTTCTATTCATCTGTGAATCCTGAAAAATAAATGTATCACGGTTTCCTAAAAATATTGGGCAGCGCAACTGTTTTCAACATTGATAATAATCAGAAATGTTTCTTGAGCAGCAAATCAGCATATTAGAATGATTTCTGAAGATCATGTGACAGCTTTGATCACAGCAATCAGTTACATTGTAACAGATATTCACAACTATTTTAAATCTAGTGCTGTCAAATGATTAATCGCATTCCAAAATAAAAATGTTTGTTTACATAGTATATGTGTGTGTACTGTGTATATTGTATATATAAAGAGACACACATACAGTATATATTTTGAAAATATTTACACGTATATATTTATATTCTTATAAATATATTTTATATTAAATAAAAATATATTGAACATATAAACATAACATATTTTTCTTAAATATATACATGCATGTGTTTGTATTTA